GCAACGTTCATGAGTGCTTATGAATATGAATTTTAGCATTGGATTAAACCCACGCTCACTCGGATCACTCCATGAATTGTATCACGAGTGATTGGTGAGACGATAACATCTTATATTCTTGAAACCGAGATGTGTGAGTTGTATCTTGCTAATCGGTTGCATATTGATAATATGAAAACTGTAACGCTTGTGTTTCTGGGCTTGCCATTTTTAGCAATGTAATAGTCTAGGTTAACCTTTATAATCCGTTTTGAAATAATATAAGTGTATTATTTGAGTATTATGTGTTTTGTGCTTAATTGCTTAATTATGTGGTTTGATTAAATAAGAATAAAAATAAGTGCCAAAATTTAAGTGTAAAATAAACTTGATATCTTTAGACAACATTGTAGTAGTTGAAACAAGGTTTCCGAAGATATAAAGAATGCCGAAATCCGAGTTATAACGAGGAAGTTGTGACCTGTCGAAGTTTCGCGACAAAACCGGCAACGCTGAATGACGTAAAAAGTGAAATTTACGTTAGAGCGATATTTAGCCTTAGTGATCTAAACGAGAATCGAAGATCTCGTTGTTAGTATCAAAGTGATAAAAAGTTAGGCGAGAACGGACGTCAAACGAAGAAGTTATGAATTTATAACGAAATTTTCTGTCCCGGCCTATTAAAAATAAATAATAAAAATAAATTCAAAATTAGCCGACAGAGTCTCAACGAAAGTTGTAGAGCGTAGTCTCACCTTCGCGTGGATATAAAGAACGTCGAAAACGGAGTTCGTATGAGGAAGATATGAATTTTCGAAGTTTATTAAATAATTAATAATTAAAATTAATTATTAAACCTCGGTATTATCCGGAGGCGGGTCACCGGACTCATCCGGAGTACGTCCCGCGTACAGCAAAGAGTGTCGACACTTCGGATGACGCATGCAGTGACGATTTCGGACGCCCGTACGCCCCGCGTAATTGAGGCTCCCAGCCTCCTATAAATAGGATGCGAGGGCAGCCGGCTTCTTTGCTATTTTTCTCCATTCTCTCTCCCGTTTGCCTCGATTTGCGTGCCAGAAGTACCCCGAAGCCCCGATAATATTCCCGAGTCCCGAAGCAAGTCCCGAGATCCCGAAGATCCAGAGAAGTGCGGTTCCCGAGCCGAAGCTCTGCCCGCGAGAAGTTCGATTTTTGTAGAGATCTTCCAGATCTGCTGAGGATTACTACTTTTGCAAGTCGTAGTGCTGTCCGATCATCTTCTGATCAAGTGAGTGTATACTACCTTTCATAAACACAATAATAATACAAGTATGGTTTGAGTGTATTAAGTGTATTGTTGTTTATATGTGTGGGTGTGTTATTACTTTCTCCTAATGTATAATTATGAAGTATTTTATACGAGATACGTGTTATGTGTATATTTTGTTGTTATGTGTGTGAATGTATATTCACTTTCTTTTATCTTACAAATCTGATTATTTCTATATTAAATACGTGTTATGTGTGTGTGCCTCATCTGTTATATGGAAAATGTATCGATCAAGCATGCTATACAGGTTTTGAAAATATGTATAAAAATGTATATTTTTATCTACTAATATGTTGGGTAGAACATGGGTAGATAGTTGGTGTGTAATAAACAGATGAGAGGCCTCGTTGTTGTTTTGATCCAGTCATCTAGCGGAATTTAGATGACGACCACGGACTTTTCTAGACAGTCCAGTGGAACGCTAGCAGGCTCATAACCTGTAGGTGTTAATGAACTTGGGTGTTCATTCGCTGTATTCCATCCCCATCATGATTGCCTTATTTGACTTATATTGTTGAGGAACCCCCGCAGCATGTGTTGTCACCCCGATGAAAATATTCTTAGATTAGGTCCCTTGTGTTAGTTATTTTAGGGACATAAAGTGAGAATAACGGGAATGGGTAACTGGGTTATTGTTGGTTGATAATAATTAATTTAATTATTTATTGTGGGTTGAAAACCCTATATGCTCACCAGGCTCCCAAGCCTGACCCACTCAGTTTTATTTGTATTACAGGAAGTGGCGCAAGGGCGTAAGATGGATGAACCATCAAGTTGTTTTGTTTACAAGTCTGTATATGTATGTATTTGTTGAATGACTTGTAATGTTATCGTTTATGCTTATTGGTCTGTATCGGAACATGACACCCCGAGTTTTGATTATATAATGAAAATACATTTCTTTTATGAAATGCTTTGGTAAACATTGTTTTATCATGTTTTGTTTTTGGGAACAAATTCCGCAACTCTTTCAAATCAAAAGGATTTACTCTGAAATTATTTTAAAAAGCATAAATGAAAATCGGTCTTTTCTGGCTGAGATTTTGGGGATGTCATAGTTGGTATCAGAGCATTAGTTTAAGCGAACTAGGAATTTGTAGGATTTCTAGACTTAAACTTAGAATGCTAAGTGGAATTTTGAGATGTGTGTCTGTTATATTTTAGACACGAGCACTAGTTTATTTTAGGAACGTTGCCTAAAATGCTTTATGTGCTAATTGTTATATGTTGCCATATATGATATTATTTGTTCGGATCTATGGTCTGTTGCCAAACCGGATCTAGAAACTTTATGTGTGTAGGATTCTAAGCGTACGTCTATGATATTAGAACTAGCATGTAAACGTTTCGGAGTGATAAGGATGATTTGAATATCTATCGTGAATGAGGATCTAATTTCACCTTATTCGGTGTGTAGATCAAAAATGGTGAGAACAAGAAGTGGAGTTGGAAATGCTGACGAAAACAGGAATCAACCACCAGTGATTGAGCAAAGACCTGTCGTAGCAGCAGCACCTGAGCCAATAACCATGGCTGGTGTGCAAATGATGATTCAAACAATGTTGGATCGTCATATGGATGAAACTAGACGGTTGCTTCAATAGAATCGTGAAGAACTGTCAATTCGTGTGGAAGATCCTGAATTAAATGAAGGGCACTCGGAAGGTGGAAACTTCAGTGGGTCTATTGGTCAAGCCAACCCACCGATAGTTAGGCGAGACAACCATAAATGGAAGGAATGATGGAATGGGATGCAAGTACAAGGACTTTCTAACTTGCAAACCATCGACCTTCAATGGAAAGGAGGATCCGATAGGAGTGATGGATTGGATCTCTGAAATGGAGTTAGCCTTCATGACTTGTGGCTGCAGAGGCAAGTTGCAGACTATCTATGCAGTACGTCAGTTCCGAGGTGGAGCCGTTCGTTGGTGGAACACTCTAGGGAAGACTTTAAGCCCTAATGATCCACTGCAGTTGTCATGGGCAGAGTTCTTGGTGCAGTTCAAACGCAAGTTCTGCTCGGCTCAAAATCTATTGGAACTAGAGAACAAGTTTCTAGCATTGACGAAAGGCAGCATGTCAGTTGATGAATACACCAATAACTTCACCGATAAGATGGAGTTTGCCTTGCGTATCGTTCCAAACGAGCTGACAAAGGTGGACCGGTATGCAAAGGGACTCCCATGGGAGTACGAGGTGCCAGTACGTCAGGCACATACTCTAGAGGCAGCTATCTGGGCTGCCAAGTCTGTTGAGAACATGATAAAAGGGGAGAACCACCAACAAGGTTGAGGTTGGTGAGAAGAGAAAGTTTGAGGCCCACCTCTTACCACCACCTATTTTTGTTCGTCATCGCCCTGTTCATACCCTCTCCAACGACCATCATACCACCATATCCGACAGGAAACCATAACTATGCTTATCTATAGATCCATATCCAGACCTGTATCTCGATCCAGATGAAATCAGGTGTCTCAATTTGTTTCCCTTTCGGTGGTGGTGGTCGTAGCCTTTGTTTCCCTATGTTTTTCCGAGAAAGGAGATGGGGTGATATATTCTTAAATATGTGTATGTGTGAGAACCTGAGAGGGAGGAAGGGTTGGGGTCGTAATTTTTAATTTTTTATATAATAAATTATAAAAAGAAATAAAATTATAAAAAAATTAAAAAAACAAAATGATCTTTTCAGATTTTCAACGGACCAAAACCATAGGAATTTATTAATTTTAGAGTAAATTATTGAAATCGTCCCTGTGGTTTAGTTAAAATTGCACATTTGGTCCCTAACTTTTTTTTTTGCACTCGGATCGTCCCTGTAATTTGATTTTGTTGCGTTTTTCGTCCATATGGTTTGGTAAAAATTGTATGTTTGGTCCCTAACTTTATGTATGTAAGGGACGAAAAATGCAACAAAATCAAACCACAGGGACAAAAAAAACGCAACAAAATCAAACCATAGGGACGATCCGAGTGCAAAAAAAAAATTAGGGACCAAACGTGCAATTTTGACCAAACCACATGGATGATTTCAGTAATTTACTCTTAATTTTATGAACATTACTGCCAAAACTTTTTGATATATGAGTAAAAAAAAATTTTAATCTTATCCAGTTTTGATGAACTATAAGTGAACTATAAGGATAGTTTTTAGTTTTTATGAACTATAAGGAATTTATCCGTACACAAATCATGTTTTTTTTAAAAAAAAAAAATATTTCCCTACATGATAATAGGTGGCGATTGGTGAACACGAGCCGGACACTGTGGGTGGGAGAAGGTTCGATTAGTGCGAAGATTCAGATCTGATTGGAGTGAAAGCAATAAGTCTGCAAAAATCTTCCCTCAACTTTGCATACAATTCCCATATAGTATTCAATCTACTTTTGCATGTTTAGATGGTCCAAAAATCTCACTCACGGCTCTTTTACTTTTGCAATCTTTCCCCTAAAACAAGTCCTCACATATCACTATGTCTATGCAACAAAATTATAAATTTAATAACTTAATTAAAAAAAAACAATTTCAAAACCAAAATTTTATATAAACTAAATTTTTTTAAGCAATTTATCCAATTAAATTAGTGAAAACTTAATAAAGAGAATAGAAAGTGTGTAGTAAACAATAGAAAAGTTGAAGGGGGTGTTATTGAAATTTGTTGTATTTAATTATTTAAGAAGTAGAGATATAGAGTCTTTACCGAAATACTTGGGGCTCTGGTAATTTGGTGGAATCTATAACAAACAAACACCCCATCCTCCGATTTTCACCCAATCTTTCTTTCTCTTTCTCTCTCTAGAATTCACATTTGTCTGTTGTATGCCACCGTCTGGTCGGCAACCAGGCTTGAGGTCAGTCACTGTTTCTGTCTTTCTTCCTCTGTGTTGTCACTCTCTGTTTTCTGCTTAAATTCTTCTGCTCCTCGCGGAAAACACACTTCCCTCTTTCTTTTCCGTCTAATCTCACTCAACAAATTCAATTCTGCTTTTAATGATCTGGGTTATTGTTTCCGGACAGAGAAACAGATTTCTTGCTTTAACGAAGGCTCAGTTTTAACTGCTATTGCTAGATTGTTCATACTCTAGGTATGTCCATTGTCTACCCCTTCGTTTCGATTTCTTAATAAATGGGTTGTCGATTTTGTTTCAGTTAATCTTAATTACACCTCAACCCACTTCTTGTTATTAATTCAACAAGTAATGAAATAGTCTTTGAGTATCATGCAATGTTCTAAGAATTTAATTGTCGTGTGATGACTGAGTTCATGGTTATGTGAAGTTGTTAATTTGTTTTTTTTTTTGTTGTGGTTTTACAGAGGTTATCGGCGGGTTTGGGTTTCTGATAGGCGAAGGATTTTGATTTGAAGATGATTAATGTAATGGATCATGTGAATAAACCCATGAATGAAGTGGATAAAAGCTTGGATGGGCAGTTATGGCATGCTTGTGCTGGTGGCATGGTGCAAATGCCGGAATTAAACTCTAAAATATTTTATTTTCCTCAAGGTCATGCCGAACATGCAGCCGCCGGCAATGGCGGTTTCCGGGATTTCCCAAGAATCCCGCCGTACATCCTCTGTGGAGTCTCCACCGTCAAGTTCATGGCGGATTCCGACACAGATGAGGTTTATGCTAAAATAGGGCTTGTCCCTTTGGGAAATCACAGCGATTGTGATTTTGAGAACGATGGGTTTTTAGGGTTTGATCATATCAAAAATGAAAACCAAGAAAAACCGGCATCGTTTGCAAAGACATTGACTCAATCTGACGCTAATAACGGCGGTGGATTCTCCGTACCAAGATACTGTGCCGAAACAATTTTTCCGAGATTGGATTACACGGCGGAGCCACCAGTCCAGACCATCTTGGCTAAGGATGTTCACGGGAAGCTCTGGAAGTTCCGGCATATCTACCGGGGGACCCCACGCCGCCATCTTTTGACCACCGGTTGGAGCAATTTCGTGAACCAAAAGAAGCTCGTCGCCGGCGATTCTATCGTGTTTCTGAGAGCTGATAACGGTGACCTCTGCGTCGGAATTCGGAGGGCCAAGAGAGGTATCGGAAGGGGGTTTCATGATTCGAATTCATCCGGATGGAACACTTCGATTCCTGGGTATGGGAATTCCGGGAAAGTGAGTGCGGAATCGGTGATTGAAGCTGCAAATCTTGCAGCCACAGGGCGGCCGTTCGAGGTGGTTTATTACCCTAGAGCAAGCACGCCGGAGTTTTGCGTAAAAGCTTCAACAGTGAAAGCTGCCATGCGGATTCAATGGTGTCCTGGAATGAGATTCAAGATGGCGTTCGAAACAGAGGATTCTTCCAGAATCAGTTGGTTCATGGGCACCATTTCTTCAGTTGACGTCGACGATCAAATCCGTTGGCCTAATTCTCCATGGCGCCTCCTCCAGGTAGCTTGGGATGAACCCGATTTGTTACAAAACGTGAAACGGGTCAGCCCGTGGTTAGTTGAATCAGTATCAAACATGCCATCGATTCATCTTTCACCATTTTCACCTCCAAGAAAAAAGCTTCGAACCCCACAACCATCCGATTTCCCCCTCCTTCCAATCATCAATAACCACAGTCCCGGAAGCATCCAGGGAGCCAGGCATAATCCGCAATTCCAATTCGGATTTGATCATTATCACCAACAACAATATTTCAACAGGATCCAATCTTTTCCATTCGGGTCACCACAATTTCCTCCAACAAGATTAATCCAAACAGCCCAAGAAACCGACGAAAACGTTTCTTGCTTGCTAACAATCGGGAACAGTAGCAACAACTCAAAGTCAAAGACAAGATCGAATGAAAAAGCTGAAAACAAGCCAACATTTGTGTTATTCGGTCAACCCATTTTCACAGAACAACAGCTCTCAGATTCCAGTTCCGGTGACACCATGGCTAACCAGTCTGATGGTTCGGTGGTGGTTCAGAACGACAGCTCATCCGATGAAGCTGAACAAAAGTCCGAGTTTGGGGTCGAAACGGGTCATTGCAAGATCTTCATGGAGTCAGAAGATGTGGGTCGGACTCTAGATTTAACCGCTTTTCATTCATATGAAGAACTTTACAGAAAGCTAGCCGACATGTTTTGCATAGATAAATCCGTAATGCTCAACAGCTTGATTTATCGTAATGCAGATGGTTCAGTAAAACGCACAGGAGACGAACCTTTCAGGTATATATGTTGTACAATATGCAGTCGAACTTGTACTTTTAAGCTTTTTGGGTGTCTAATGGAAATTATCTTCTTTGTTGCAGTGAGTTCTCAAAAACGGCAGGAAGGCTAACAATTGTGATGGATTCTGGAAGTGATAATGTAGGAGTTTAGATTCTTGTAACATGTACAGTCGTTGCTACTTCAAATTCTTGATATTTTTTTTTTTTGTTCGTCCCCAATGATCGATTATGAGATGATTTAGTTAATGTTTTCTGTAGTAATCCCTTTTGGATTTTGATCAATTCTACGCTGTTTATGGTTGATATTATGTTAGTTTTTGTGATGCATGCTTTTGTGACAATTGGTGTTGTAAATGTTTTGTGTCGCTAGTGGTTGTGGTGTCCAATTGGTGGTGGCGGTGGATCCACGGCTGTATCTAATTGGATGTGGATGGTGGTTGAAACTAACTTTTTAGTTGGCCAAATTTAACGAAGTTAAATTATTTTGTTTTTTTTATAGCAATATTAGTATATCATGAGATCTTATTCTATCTTTTTATGTAATACAAAATTGTAACTTTTATTTAATGATACCGGTTACAAATCTATAATCCTCAACTCAATGCAACAAGCGACTACAAGACTTTTTTATATGTGGTTATATCATCATCTCTTATGCAACAAACAATGTTTCATGAGTAAATAATGGTTCTCAAACTTAGGGTTTTAAGAAAATGGGATATTTCTTTTAGTTACATGTCTACAAGAAATCATTTTCATTCATGTTTTAATAATCATATATTAGTTTACAAAATGTGAAGTTTACATAAACATGACAAGATTTGCAAATTAGTTGTAATCTTTGAAAAAGGTAAAAATGATTTAATTTACACTTGTATATTAAAAGTTCTAAACAATTTTATCGCTATAAGGCAGAAAAAAAACCCAAGGGGAAAGGGTACAACAGTTTGATGAACTAAACATATATGTATATAGTTATTGCATAAAACTTGCATCGAAACACACAATATGCATGTCTTAAAATGCAAAATTTATGCAATAACCTTTTAAACTGAATGTTTAAAATTACCAAAGTCAACAATCAGGCTTAAAACATGAAATATCTCTTATGAAGGACCAATATAAGGGTCAACATATACACAAATTGCGTTTTGTGTGCGAGATAAATATCAAGAGGCATATCGTGAACTTTTTTTTCTTTCTACAAACATGATTTTTAAGGTGTTAATTGTTAAAAGTCAAAACAAAATATAAGATCCTCATAATTTATTAGAATAATGTTTTGGAAAGCATGAGAGCATTAATTATGGGAGTTAACAATGGCCATAAATTGAAGCCATTAAAGAAGGTGGTGGCCTTTGACAGTCACATAGCACAAAAATGTGTGTTGTTAATCCCAATTAAGCAAAAAGAAGGGCGCAAATGGTGGCAAGGCAAAGTTATAGGGATTTGGGTGTAAGATTTAAAATAGTTGGAGGGCCCTGAAATTAAGGGCTTTTTGGTCAAAGAAGTTGCCTCTTTCTCACAAACCATATCGGAGTGTGGGAGATATGTCACACAAATGAACCAAACTTTTTTGTGTCAACACCATACCTACTCAATGTAATGGTCCAAAAAACAATTTTAGGTTTTCAAAAAAGAAGCTTTAAATATGTTTTATGTATTTGTACTTGGTTGTAAATGGTTTGTTTTTTTGTATATGAGCTGTATAGTGAGAGTCTGTATGTCTTTTTTTTTTAATGAATACATAATGTTTATGGGACAATAGTAAATGGAAACTTATTTTTATATGTATTGAATTGTTCTTTTTAGAGGGTTATTATACAACATTAAAAGGTATTGCGAAATATATATATATATATATATATATATATATATATATATATATATATATATATATATATATATATATATATATATATATATATATAAAAGAGTTTAACGTTGAAAATGAATATTCAATAAGCTATCAAAAAGTCTCAAACAAATGGCCTTACTTTTATAAGATTAGTACAAAAAAGTCACAATGTAAACATGGATAAAATGAATTAGTGATTGAAAAGTATTAATCCCAAAGTTTGGGGATATGGTTAGAAAAAGTAGCATGATTTTGATGAAATAGACAGCTTGCTCACGTGCGGTCGTTTGGCATTGTGATTGGTCCAAAAAGTTGATATAAACATAAATGTTTTGTTTTTTCGGTCAAATTTGAAATTACAATCAAATTTTGCTTTTTAAGTTTTACTTCTACAAAATATATTTTCAACTTTAAAAATGTATAGATTTTTAGACGTTAATTTTGTTAATAATAATAATTGATATATCACCGATGCCTAAAAAGGTTAATCATCCCAAGAAAATATGAAAAACACAACTTAATTCAATAGGAGCTGCCTAAAAACAAAATACACCTCAAAGCACGAAACAATCAAAATCGAAGTATGAGAAAAAAAATATATTGCATTACGTTATTATATTGCTTGCTACCATGTAGAGCTGAATGAAAGAAAATAATATTTGTCATATCATATAATGTGTTTTATATTAAAATAGAATGGTATACTGTAACAACTGTAAATATATTTATAAAGATATATCAGACTTAAGGAATTATTAAAGAGGAAAAAAAAAACATGAAAAAAATAGGGAAAAAATATTATACGAGTTGCAAATCCATAGGCTCAAGATCCCAAGCAAAATGTTTTGATCACCAACTCTCTGTTACAAAGTGTTACAAAGTCAGAGAGTCAACCCTAGAAACTCTCCTTCCCTGTTTTCCTCATTTATTTATTTTTATTTTTATTTTTTATTAATATTTCATTAACTTCTCTATTTACATTTATGTCTCCAATATTCATATTCGTTCTAAAAAAGTAGCATGTACGTAAATAACCTTTATATATATATATATATATATATATATATATATATATATATATATATATATATATATATATATATATATATATATATATATATATATATATGGAAAAGTGAATATACCTTTAAAGGTATATAAGCTTAGGTACCCAAAGTCATCATATTATGTTGTTTGTATCATATGTATACATTGTGATTGTCCAATGTTCTTATAATTCAACTTCTAACTTGATTTACTTCTAAGATTTTTATAAATTTCACATTTATCTTCCTCTTACATAATTTTCATTTTCAACTCTAATATATATTACCTAATAGGTGTTCGGCAAAAAGATTTGATATAAGAGGAAAACAATAGTGAAATTTCGAAAATCTTCAAAGTAAATCAAGTTAAGGTTGAAGTTTAATAACATTATAATGAATATATCAAACAAAACAGCTAATTATAGTGGGTTTGGGTACCTAAGCTTATATACTCTTAAGGGTATATTCACTTTTCCCATATATATATATATATATATATATATATATATATATATATATATATATATATATATATTGTGGTTCATTTGAGACCAAGTTAATTTTGTGAAACCGTAAGATCAAATCTAAAATAATTTTAAAATGCAGAATAATAGGAAAAATCCAAAAAATATTTTTGCGGGTGATAAGCTGTGGACACCCGATGTTTGACTCTATACTTCTTGAGAACTGATCCAAGAGTTTTGTTGCAGAAGTATGTGCATCTGTCACTGATCAAGGCTTTTGGAGTTCCAAACCTACATAAGATGTTAGCCTTGACAAAATCTATAACAACTTTAGCATCATCAATTCTTGTTACCTTTGCTTCTATCCATTTGGAAACATAGTCAACAACCAAAAGGATGTATAAATTCCCAAATGATGAAGGAAAAAGACCCAAAAAATCAATACCCGATATATCAAATATTTCACAAACCAAGATGGGGGTCAAGGGCATTTGGTTTCGGGAACTCAAAGAACCTATCATTTGACAATTCTCACAACTTTTACAAAAAGTGTAAGAGTCATTAAAGAGTCGAGGCCAACAAAATCCACAGTCTAAAATTTTCCTAGCAGTTCTTTGAGGACCAAAATGCCCTCCGCAAGCATAACTATGACAAAAGTTGAGGATAGATTGTACCTCATGTTCTTCAACGCATCTTCTTATTACCTGATCTGCACAATGTGTAACACCCGTTTTTCTGGGCTAAAGCATTAATGATGGTGTTTCAGGGAAATCCATGTAAAGCTCATTGGATAGCAGTTAAGAATATTCTCAAGTATCTACAAAGGACAAAGGATCTGGTCCTTGTACTTAGTGGCAATGATACATTGAGAGTAACTAGGTATAGTGACGCTAACTTTCAAACAGACAAAGACAACTTCCATTTTGAATTTGGTTGGGTGTTTACCTTAAATGGAGAAGCAGTTACATGGAAAAGTTCCAAACAAGAGACAGTCGTTGATTTCATTTGTGAATTAGAGTGTATAGCAGCAAGCAAAGCATCAAAGGAGGAAATTTGGTTGAAGAACTTCATCGGAGATCTTGGAGTTGTACCATCAATTAAGGAGCTAATAGAAAATCTTTGTGATAATGAAGTAGCAATTGTCTTGACAAAGGAACCAAGAGATCATGGCAGTTCAAGACATATCAACAGAAAATACCATTTCATTAGACATAGGGTAGAAGAAGGTCACTTCGTAGTAGAGAGGGTATCATCTGAAGAGAATCATGCAGATCCACTCACAAAAGGTCTTAGTAGGGTTAAACACATTCATCATGCTAGGAGCATTGGTTTGAGAGATGATATAAGTTTTAGTAGTTAGATAGTTAGTTTGAAACTTGTAACAAAGTAAATATAATTGAATTTTGGTGATCAAATAATACAGAATTATTTATGAGTTTGTTTACTATCATTTGTCAATTGTTTATTATTGTGTTTCATTTTACATGTTTTACTTCCTCAACAATTCGATTATTCAAACTCCACTGCCATTCGTACATTTGGAAGTAAGTAGTGAATTAAGACAGTCATTAATTGAATTGTAGATTCTCTAAAGAGTTTTAGAAATAACAATGGTATTGATGTAATGTTCATGAGTACTTGGAAAATAGAGATTTAAGTATCGGATTAACCCACGCTCAGAGAATTACTTCATGGAGTTTATCACGAGTAATTTTGAGACGATAATATCTTATAATCTTAAAATGGAGATATATGAGTTGTGGTTTACAAGTCAGTTGTGCATTGAGGATACGTAAACGCATCAGTAACTTGATGTTATAAAACGTGTTGTTGTGCATGATTTGATAAGTAAATGGTGCAAGCAAATAAGTTAAAGTTTATTCGTTCCTTTTGCCTTAAATGGAAAAAGCGATATTTTTGGGTCCGTCGATGATTTGGTGTCGACTTATACTGTTGGGCCCGACCAGGACTAAATTGATGTGTTTGATTAGAAGTTCTATATCATTACAAATCAGAAATCAGGAAACAAAGTATACGAAAATGTGATTGATTATGTTCCATGTCTCATGTCTGAATGATATCTTGTAGAATGGAGGATTATATGATCACTTATCTTAGGACACGTAACTAACTGGATCAGATTT